ATGCCTGGCATAAGACACTCAGGTCGGGAGGGACTCTGGTGATCTACACTATGAACAAGAGCCCAGAGCCCATCTACTCTCCAACATTCTTGTGGATGAGGGAGTAGATGGGCATGGTGGGATGTCCAGTCATTGTTCTTGCCTTCCTGCTGGCCTCACCTTGGACTGGCCAGTAGCTTTAAACTTCAGAGGGAAAGGTCTGGATCATGGTACCTTCACTAGCAGAAGATCAGTGGCTACCTGGGGAGAATTTACTACCCACCGTCCTCACAAGGCAGGTAGTATGCATGGACTTCCTCTGTGTTACTGAGGAGCCCTTGTTGGCTCTACCCAAGAAGTTTTGCTTCACCTCTGCAGGCTAACAGCCTGCCAGCTTCTGCATCACCAGATTTCCTGCATTATGTGTTCAAGATGTTGAGATTTCTGTCATGTCTTAAAATGGCTTTTAAAAAGGTTTAGCTTTATTTGATAAGCAAATGTGATTGATGTTTTCTTTGTGATATTTTTCTTATTGCTCTTACATGTAGGAGGTCTCTTATGGGCTTGCTTTTTCACTCTTTTTCTAGGCCACCCACAATTTACTTTTGTCTATAATATGATGTGAATCAGCTACCCAAATAGGTAGCTGATTTTCATAGTACTAAATACTGGTTAATTTATTATTTCTCCATTAAAAAAAAAAACCTTTGTCTGTATCATATATTGCCTCCAGGAGACCTGAAGAACTCAGGGCAGTTTGGCCCAAGCACACGCAGAAGTTGAGTGAGTGACAGTAAAGAGGGAAGGCAGTGGTGAGAAGCTTGTGTCTGATGAGCACATTAAATGACCCACAGTGGTATAGAGTCAGAAGCCACAGCCCCTGGTGACACAGTGGCTATGAACTTAGGCAAGTCAGGATTCCAGCAGTGGTGCAAGTGCCCTCCATACCACGCTGTTATTAGGATTCTTATGCATCGTCAAACAGTGATTCTAAAAGATCGTGTTGTTTCCCTCACTAGATGGTCAATGGCATGAGGTCAGTCCCAGCTCTGAGCTATCTACTGAACCCCATAGTGGGATCCTGGGCCTGGTGGATGATCCGTGAATGATCTATAAATCATTGGTGGGAGCTATGTCATGCTGTAGTGAGTCCCATTACAGCTAGGCACTCTGGGCTCCTGCAGTCAGTGTGAATGGGTATTAAAGTGTTTTCCAACACATCCTAGCAGGTACTCTACTACTTGAGACACACCCTCAGTTCTTTTTGCTTTAGATATTTTTGAGATAGAGTCTCATGTTTTTTTTCTTCTCCTGGGCTGCCCTGCCCTATTTATGCTTTCCTTATAATTGGGATGACAGACACACACAACCATACCCAGCGATTGGTTGAGATGGGGTCTCTTGAACTTTTCCTTCAGGCTGACCTTGAGTGGTGATCCTCCTGATCTACACCAGTCAACTAGCTAGGATTACATGCATGACCCACCATACCCAGCCAGGTTCCTTCTTCTTTTGCAAGGTAGATTTATTGAGAAAAAGTTGGGATGAAAAGCTGGAGCTATTACAGATGGTAGCTCTGTTAATGGGTCATTTTCTCATCCATCAGAGCTGTACTGTGTGTTCACTATGTATATGCTTATATTGTACATCTGTATATAAATATTAGTTAATTTGAATTACCAAGTGCTACAGCTACCATGTATGATTAAAGAAAATGTTTTTTGTGTCTCAAGAGTTTGTGTGTAGACAATCTGACCATGGGCTAGCAGCTTACAGGATAACTCCTGTTGGGTTGTGCTATCTTAACACTCAGACATTATTTGCTTTTTGAAGTGGTACAGCTTATTATTTGAGAAATAAAATAAAGAAGAAATGAAGGGAAAGCATACACACATAGACACACACATCCTTAGTCAGAGCTTTGCTGTGGTCTGAGTGTTTATGTCCCCCTGCAAATTCACATGTGGAAACTTCACCCTCCGTATGGTGGTATTAAGAGCTGGGGCTTTTGGGGATGACTAGGTCATGAGAGTGGAGTCTCGTGAATGGGATTAGTGCCCTCATAAAAGAGGCCTGAAGGAGTTTGTGTACCTTTCTCCATGTGAAGACATAGCAAGAAAGTGCCACCTCTGAGTCAGAAAGCAGCCTTCACCAGAACCAGCTGACACTTGATCTTGGTCTTCCAGCCTCCAACTAAAAATCAATTTCTGATGTTTATCACCACCAGTGTATGTCATTTCATTATAGCCACCAAATAGACCAAGATGAGGTTATTTATAGTTGGAAAGTCTTGTCAAACATCCCCGCTCCGTCCTGGGCCTGATAGCATCTGATCCTGCTGCTGGGGCCCAGTCCTCTTCTCTCTGCTCCAGGTCACGGCTGAATTTGCCCGGTGAAGTGTCCTTTCCCACCACAAACTCCTGTAGCTGACCACTCTAAACACTCCATCTCCATCAAAGGCGTTGACTTCTGGGCTCCATTGGCATCAATGCTCAGCCATGGCTTTCTGTCTTTTTCCCAGACAGGGATTATTTCCCTCTATGACTGTGTTTTTAAGAGGAGCCTAGACTATAACCAGAAAGTACATCGGGATGACAGAGAACATGCAAAAGGCCTGGGACTTCATGTTAATGAGGAGGTAAGATTAACACGTTCTTACCTAACAGATTAACAAAAATGTTTATGTACATGTGTATGCATGTGTGTACACCCATGTGTGTGCACTCTTGTGTATACATGTATTTTCATGCACATTCATGCATAGGTACATACATGTGCATATATTTGCATGTTCATACTGTATATGGACACATGAACATGTATTTATGTACCTACGTGTATATGTGTGTACGTGTGTATACACACATTTAATATTGTATTCAGTTGCCTCACATAACTTCCTTTACACAGCTCTCCTCTATCTTATGTGCCAATAAGCCAAAACAAAGCTGTTTTTATAGTCCCCTCCATTCTGTAATGTTATTTGTATATTAATTTTCCAGATTCATTGTTTAATGCTATCTATAGAATTGAACAATTTAAGTAGACTAAAGCTTAAAAAGTCTTTCCAGCAGATAAAACAGGTCTCATTGAACCTCTGAGTCCTGGCAGTCATAGTTTTTCTACGGACACTGGTCTTCTAGGGATAAATAGTACTCAATAATATTGCTCCCAAGTCTAGTTACCAAGTCCCTATAACCACCACATGTAGGGAAGTTCTTCTTTTACCTTTCTGCTGTTTTCTGAAAGGGAGGAGTAATCTTGTTGTCAGCTGCACAGGAAGGTAACTGGCAGAACTAGAAAGTCTGACAGGGTGACAGTTGAGTATCATGGTAGGTGGACAGGCGTGCAGTGGGTGTGTCTCTTTATCCTGGCCAGGCCCACCTTCCCTTTGGATGAGAGCTTTCTGCTGCCTTTACACACTCTGACCTTATCTTCACAAGTCTGGCCTGAGGACAGCAGGATTATTAATGGTCAGGTTCTGAACAGGTACAGTCTTTTGTAAAATGTGTTACATAGAAATTATAATATAAAATCTTCTGGCAGGTATTGGAAATATGGCTCAGTGGTAGAGCACTTGCCTAGCAAGTATGAGGCTATGAGTTCCATCCCAAGCACTGCAAGAATGCCACCCTGCTGTAGTAGGAAGACAGGGAGGGGGAAGAGAGATTAATGGGTGCTACAGTGAACAAAGGAAAACCGAAGTCGGGGAATGTTACCTGGAGACCAGAGGAGGGTCATCTCGCCACAGAGGTTAAAACAGCCAATGAAATATGGTAATGTATTGGACAAGCTGTACCCCCATTTCTGTAACCTGCTGTAAATGGTATATAAGGAATGCCCCCTTTGTTCTCAGGGCTCAGCCTTTGGACATGAATCCACTGAGTCACTGCTGGCTTGCTTAATAAACTTGCTTCCTAAAAGCTTTGGTGCCCTCTCAGTCTCTGTCCAAGCCCTCCTGCAACATTTCTGGTGGCCTACCTGGGATTTGGAGGGTGGTGCTTTCAATCCTTGTCACTGGCTCAGCATCCCTGGCCTGCCAGGAGGGCTGCCCCTGCCAGGTGCCACTGGACCTTGTTGGTCCAGGAGAGGGAGCCTCTCTCCTGGCAAGCTGAGGAGGTGAGTTCTGGTTGCAAAAAGGAACCTGGAAAGTCTCAGGAAACAACCTAGGAGCCCCATTCATCAGACTGGTAAGAACCTGGGTTCAAATTCAGGCCTGCCTCAGGAGGCAAAAGGGGGGTCTGATCAACTCTCAAAAGGTACCATAGTAACCACCTTTTGGGGGGTGACACCGTGTCTTTCAGGTTCAGGGAGCAGGGTGGAAGTACTGTGCTGTGTGAGAGTGTGTGAAAGTGCAAGCCTGAGACATAACCTTGTTACAAAGTGAGTGTGAGTCCTGATCCACTGGTCCATGGCAAACTCATGGTCTATGGTGAGCCCTAACAGGGCATCTGGTCTGGGGCTTACACAGACTCACTATGGCCAAGAGACACCTAAATCCCCACGAGGGAAGCAGACAGAGATAGACAAAGTGAGTGGTGTTATTTGTTTTCCCCTGTGCCGGAGACAAGGACCCCTTACCTCCTCTCCACAGCCCTCATCCCTTCCCTCTTTGTCTCTGACTGGCAAACGGGAGGAGTGGGAGGTTGTCAGAGTAAGAATGCCCCCCCTAGAACTTTAAGAGAGGATTTAATGCAGATTATGGGGTCAAGTTGACTCCTAGCAAGCTTAGGACCTTCTGTGAAATAGACGGGCTATTTTTGGTGTAGGATGGCCTTCAGAGGGGTCATTAGATAAGGTCATAGTCAATAAAGTTTCTGAAATGGTTGTAGGGGAGCTGGAACACCCAGATAGTTCCTTATATTGACTGCTGGGAGAATGCAGTCCTCAGTCAGCCCACATGGCTAAAACCCCAGCTAGAGACAGCACATAGGGTTATGGTGGCCAGGGCAGTAATATGGAGTAATATGGAGAAACCCATAATATTTGGGGGCTTGAGGAGTTCCCACCCCCTCCTGTGCACCACTGTACAGATTAGAGAATTTCTAGGAGCTGCAGGTTTCTGCTGGATCTGGATCCCCAATTACTCTCTCCAGCATAAATAATCCTTTTTATTTTGAGATAAAGGTAAATGATGGAGGTACTGTGAGGTATTACCACTTATGTCACTGGTATTGGAATTTTTTTCTATTTGTTCATAGTCATGCAGTCCAAGTTGGTTGCAAAGTTTGTGCTTTTCTCAGATGGTGGCCACATTATCGTATTTTTTTATTGCTCCCCATTTACTGCTGAGCACAAAGGGAATAAGACACAAGCTCCTGCCCTCAGAGACATGACATTCCCAAGAAGAGAAAGAAAAGAAAAAAGCATCCCCCTCCCCCCACAAAAAGAACAGTGAACAAAATTCCATGTGGTGACAGGTGACATGCAGAAGAAGAAAGTCATTCAGGGACACGGGGAGAGTGAAGGAGAGAATAAGGGGCGGGGGAGGGGAGGAGAGGAGCTCAGGAAGTTGGTGACATCTGGAGACCTGGTGGTGGGAGGACCTGGCAGAAACAGAGCAGAGCAATGAACAGGAAGAGCAAAAAGGGAGAACAGAGGTCCTGAAGCTGAAGAGCACTGCTCTGTGTGCTTGGGGAAAGACAGAGGCAGGGTAGGAAAGAAGGGCTGGAGGGAGTTGGGCTGGGAGGGGTTAGAGGAGGGAGGGACTGAGAGGAACAGGAATCTGAGATCAGCTGGCTCCTAGTACCAGGTGCAGGGTCTTGCCTTTCCTCTGAGTGGCTTGAGGACACTGGGGGGTTCTGAGTGGAGTGGACAGGGTCTGCCATAGTTCGAGAGGATCCCCTGGCTTCAGTGTGGAGGACCCCATGAGAAGCCAGGGTGGAGGCAGGGTACAGGTTTGCAGGCACTTGGTTGGCCCACCTGGGTGGAACCCAGGCTGACGGCTAGGTCTACCATGCTGATGAATGCTGGGAGCACTGACTAAGTGTTCTGATCATCTTCCCTAGGAACGTGAAAGGTCTGTGGGAGTGCTGTCATCCTCTGTCTATGGGAAGCGCATCCATCAGCCCATTGAGCCCCTGAACCGAGACTATGGCCGTGTGAACCATGTGCAAGCTGATTTCTACAGGAAGAATGACATCCCCAGCCTCAAGGATCCTGGCTTCGGGCACATTGCTCCAGCCTGAGGCTATCCTTGTGACCTGCAGGGATTAGAGAGGGGCCACACGTGACCCCTACTTGCCTGTTCATGACATCTGTAACTGCAGTGATGCATCTTTTGGGAAGGATGTGCAGCTGAGCAGCTTTTCCTGAGGTGGCCTTGGCTGAGAACCTGGCCTTGTGCCTTTAACACGTTAAGAATGCTACTGTAAGGTTTTCCCCTGTACTTATTTCAGATTAAATGACAGTGGAGCCTGACTCCTTTTGAGCATCTGAATAAAAGGAAAATTGGCTCCCCTTGGTGTGTGGCTGGGTTGGTTTTCTTTGCTGGCTCTCCTCTTTGGGAAAACCCTCAGGGGAGGTGGTCACAGGAGCGGCGTGCAGTTACTGTTCTAACATGTATGGAAACTGCTTCCGCCGAAAACATGAGTAGAGTTTCTACAGGAGAGATATAATGAAATAAGTCTTTTGGCACAATTGAGCTCTAGATAGGACATTTTGTTTTCTTAAAGGTCCAAGACACAGATAACTGAGTTTTGCACAATTGAAAAGAACCCCCTCACCCCCTGTAAGAATGGAGGGCCCATTCTCATTCCTCAAGGAAGAAGCAGCCAAAGGCACTGGGAAAGAGGCTGGACTTTGTTGCTCAACAGACTTGGGGAAAATTCTGGCTGCTGAATTTTCTTGCTCTGTGGGCCAAGTCATTTAATCTATTTGAGCCAACATTCATTTTTTAATTTCCAAACCTAGGCTAGATTGTGTGGGAATCAGTGTGCTACTGGAGTGGAGCCATGTGCAATGTGCATGGCCCACCCAGCCCCAAGTCACTGCATCCGTGACTGTCTTCCCCTCTCCCCCTTGATCAAACCAGCACCTTGTGCATGCTGAGTTCATACTACTACTGAGCTACACCCAAGACCATGACTATCATTTGGGGCAGTTTCCTTTTTTGGATGCAGCTCTCTTTAACCTAAGTTAGAAATGTTAACTTTGAGAAATAATTTGGAAGTCACTCAACTACTAAGATAGCAGTTCTACCTTTAATGATTGGATCCTTTGAAAGAAATCACTTCTCATCTATGCAGATTAAATCTCCCACAGTTCAGCAGTTAATGAGAAGGTGATCTAATTAATTTTCATGCTGATCCCCAATCACCGGTTTTATTGTTTTGAAGCTGCAAAGAGGATTCTCTAAGGACACATGGTACGGAATTGTTGGCAAGGCTGACTGATTCCTAAATATTTCTGTATTTTTTAAAATGTTCTTTTCAGCATAGGCACCTTTTCTTAAACAAGTAGCAATAGTTTATTTGAGATGCTTTTGGGTGCATTACATTATATGAGATATATATAGGTATATATATATAGTAACAAAATATATGAGGCCTTGGTTATAGAAACCTGTAAAAATTACTCTATTCAGTCTTGATTTCAACCAAAATATCTATCAGTGACTGCAATCAATTGTCAAACTAAATTACTTTAGGTCATACCCTATACCTCCTGATTGCTTTTCAAAAGCAGGGAAAGGATTAGTGAAGATTTCAAAAGACCTCACATTTATTAGGCAGTAAGGGAAATTTAAATGAATTTATGTTGGCATCCTGGTATTTACAATTTAAAGAAAGAAGTAATTCTTAGAATGTGTTTTCATTTATGAAACTTCACTGCTCGATGACATCTCCTGGTTGTTAGATGTATGCAAAGCAAAGGAAAGAAGATTGGTTTGAAGGCCCATTGAGTTGGGGAAAGGAATAACATGGATGATTGACAGCCAGTTTCATCCATCTCTAAACAATATGGTAAACACTGGAGTTTTAAGGGGACTGAACTCCAGCACTTTTCATGAATGAAGACTTTCTGTAAGGCTTAAAGGTGCAGGAGAACTTTGAGGAGGGATTTTTTTCCTTGATACCAATGGTGCAAAACATGACTGAATGGATATGCACTACAAATCCTCTGATTTGCATTATTTGCTCACGAGGACATTTTCAGTTGCTGAGAGATACAGGAGCTTTCATACATGAGTGACTCCTTTGCATATCATGGGACAGGCAGTTTTCCATCCTAGCTTTGCCTTGTCCACTGAGCAACTGTCAAACTAGGAACAAGGGCAAGGACCTCTCTGCACCTATCTCCTCATTTATAAAATAAAAGGGTTTTCAAGCTGGATAGGGACCTGGAATCACCTGGGAGTGCACTGGGCCAGGTTTCTTCTTCAGTGGTCCATGTTTGGGCCTAAAAATGTATACCTCTTTTCTTTCTTTCTCTTTCTTCTTTCTTTCTTCCTTTCTTTCTTCCTTCCTCTCTTTCTTTCTCTCTCCCTTCTTCTCTTCCTTCCTCCATCCCTTCCTTCCTTGCTTCCTTCCTTCCTTTTTTCCTTCCTTCATTCCTTCTTTCCTCTCTCTTTCCCCCCTTTTTCTTTTTTTTCCCAGCCCTTACTGGGGTTTGAACTCAAGGCTTCAAGCTTGCTAGATAGGCACTCTACCACTTGAGCTATGCACACAGCCCTAGAATGTGCATTTCTAACAAGTTTCCCAGTGATGCTAATGCTACACATGGAGAGACCTATATGTGCACAGACCTTTGCAAGGTTGACTCTGATAATGACTTCAGTTCCTTTCAAATCTATTGAATGGTCAGACTGGTGATCTAACTTTGGGAAATAATTCTTCTTTTGGGGTCTTTTAACCACAAATCCAAATTCACTGTCCATTTGAGGGAACATGGTGAATCATCCAGCTGTTGTTGAGTATCAGGACAGGTGACCTAAAGTGACCTGGGATACAGGATGTAAGGGAGGAAGGACAACCAGGTGCTTCTGCTGACCATCAATACAATTTATTAATGAGTCCAGTTTTGAACTCACTGAAATCCTATGTCATCCTAGCTAAGGTTTACGAGGAAAGAGAAATGCTTTTATATCATATTTCTTGCTTCAGTCACCTTTATTTTTGTAGATTTGGGTGTATTAAGGCCAATTCTGAGTTGTGATTAGAGGATCAAAAAATTCCTGGTAGAGGCAGAAAATTGGAAAAGTCATGCTATATTCACATTTGGGTAATGAAGGACAGTAATGAGTCAAAGTCCTGGCAGAACAGCTGTGTGTGCTGTGGACACACTGGCAAGAGCAAGTTGGATACCTGCCAAGCTGTCTCCCAGTCATTAGCTCATTTACTCACAACCCGGTCCCGTGAGCTTTCAAGGAGGAAAGTACTCCTAGGAGGAATTAAGAGATGTGTTCCAAGTCCCACAGTTGGTAAAAATCAGAGCCAAAGACTTTTGCTTCAAGTCTGAGTTCCCACTAATAAACTGCTTCCTAATAGCTCATCCGGGTCCTCTGCCTCCTACAGATGCCTGCCCTGAACTAAAATAAGAAACCAAGTTTGCTCGATCTGGCTGCTATTTGCAGTTTTGCTTTTAAGCATTCAGTATGCACAATTGTTCTGTTTTCATCATTTGACGAAGTATTATTTCTTTATGTTAAAAGGAAAAAATCAAACAATTTTCGAGTTGGGTTTTCAAGGACAAATTCTCCCAGGTCTTTCCTCTTGACAAGTGCATGAACACTGGCTCCAAGTCTTCTTAAGCCTCCCCACACATAATAGGCAGCTTGTGGGGCTTAGCAGCTTCGCTCAGTTAGTTCAAGCTGTTGTGATGCCAAATTTACATAGCTGATCCCAGATTATTCTTATTCTTATGCAGCTTGAGTCTGCTAGCTCTAACAAAGTATTACTGTAGACAAGTGCCTAGTGTACAGAGGGGCTCTGTAGCTTGCACAGAATTTTTATTGAAATATTTTTTGCCTAAAAGTATTCTCAAAAGATAGCTAAATTTAAAAAAAAAAAAACATTCGATACATTGAGCATCATTTCTTTCTTACCAGGGACTCCTGTTCTAATTATCTGTATAGCAAACTCTGCCCCAATGTGAATTATTCACAGGTATCTCAGTGCCCTTCTGCAGAGCTGTACCTGAAATGACTGTGTCAAAAGGGAGAACGATGGAAAGCAAACTTCCATTCTGCAGGAAACCACAGGAGAAAAAAAGAAAGGAAAGTGAAAAGATACAGGCACTGCAAACCAAAGTACATAAAACTTTTAATGAATTAACCTTACAAAAGACAAATGGCATCAAAACATCAGACGAGTTTGGTACAAAACTGGTTGTTGGCTGTGAGGACTAGTTCTGGTGATGAATGGCAATGTGCTGCTGTCACGAGGCACAACAGAGCAAGGTGACAAGAACCACAGGTCCCCGCAGAGGCCCGTGGATGACCACTGGCAATGAGACACACGGTCGGGTGAGCACAGACTCCACGTAGGGTGACGGAGTAAACTTATTCACAAATACTGTGGGTTTGAATATCAGACTAGTGGATGCACTTGGCGAGCTACCATATTTTCCAGAAAAGAACATGCACCAGAAGATAATATACACCCCCCAGTTTTATTGCCTTAAGAATTTGTGTTTGCTTCACCTCTCTCCTCTTTGCCAGTTCTCTGATTGCTTTACATCTGCGAGAGCTCCATTCTCCTCCTGCTTAGGAGTAAGCACAGTGCAAGTGGCAGGACATTCTGGGCACAAATCAGACACCAAACGGTATGCCACTGGGTCATACGAACTAGTCTGCAAAGGCTCCAGAGTATGGGACAGAGCACATACATCAAAATGAGGGAAAGGGTTGCAGTCAGAAAGTGCATGGTACCTTCCTGAAAGCACAATCTTCTTGCCAGAATGTGTGCCATTTTCAGGATGCCACATTACTCTGGGAAAGGGACCGCGACATCTCTGTGTTTACAAAGTACGTCTTCAGGTCCCCCTTTCCTTTCACATTGATTATTCCTCTACATGTGCATGTGTATCCGAGCGTCTGGAGGATGAGGCTTGTCTCTTCAGTAACCTGCGGGTCATGTGAACAGATGGGAAAGAGTAGTACAATGGTCAGTGAAACCCCACTTGAGTATAAGTTAAAAGAGCCAAAAAAGCTTCATGCTCTTGGATCCAGTAATTCTACTCCTGAGAAAAAGTAATCTGCAAGAAGAAAATAATTTTTAAAAGATATTATGTTTAATTCAGTGCTGATATAGCAAAACACTGGTAATAGTCTAAAAAGTCAAGTGATTTCCAGGGCTAAGAGTACTATGGTACTACCATCCATGTGACATCACAGGTGACACAATATGTCAATCCACTTTCTGCAAGAAAAGAATTAAGCCTAGATGTGGGCTATGATTTCAACCACATGAAATTATGCATTCATGTAGAAGAGGCTGGAAAAAAGAGAGTAAGTCATAACAACGAACTGCTGGAATTTAGGATGAAAGTCACAAATCATCATCAATGTCATTTCATGAAATACTAAGAAATATTAATAAGACTTTTAATGTAGATGGAGAAAATGCCCCAAGAAGCACAACTGACTCCTGCAATGGCCTCGTTATTCACGTGTAGTGCACATGAAGTGACCTAAAACTGAAGGACTAGGATTTTCACTAGCATTGACATGAGCACGGTGCTCAGTCCAGTCTCCAAGGTGCCCTCACTCCACTGCACTGACAGGGGGTGCCCCTTGTAACCCACGTGTGTGCCAATACTTGTCATCTCCTGCCATACGTGCTGAGGTGGACTCCAGCTGCAGAATCAGGTTCAGGTCCTGTGGTCAGTGACATTTCCCAGTGCGACAGCCTCATTCTCGGAGTGGAAGATGGATCACCCTGTGCTCTGCCTTGCACTGTCTCAGTTGCGGTGCACTGTGCTCTCCTTAGGAGACCATGATGGACCAAAACCCAGTCTACCTGGGGTCCTTCTACTTGGGTATCAGAGAGGCCTGCTGCAAATGGCATTCTCTCAGACAGAGAATGGGTGAGGTGCACAGATGTGGCCTAAGAGTGAAGCCTCAGCTGCACAGGCTGGGGGAGGTTGCAGCTGTCAGGAGCCTGGGCCTCCATCTAGACTCTCCTGGGAAAGTGTGTGGGTCTTGAGCAAGGGAAAGAGCAGTTCATTTTCCCAGAAATCCCTGGTAATGCTGTCTGGGAACCATGTGAGAAAGTCACGAAGAAGGGATCTCCTCTCACTTCCTCTGAGAAGGCCCTAAACTTTGACACCACAATGGCACCTACGGGACCTGACCACTCAGGCATGTAAATGGCATTCCTGAGCTGGACAGGTTTGGCACAGTTGTGGACAACACAACCCAGCAGTGTTCTAACACGCTTTTCATTTTGGTGTGGACACTTCCTGAAGGTACAGTTCAATGGTAGGAACTGGGTAGAGGCCATGGCAACAGCAATGGTGCTGAAGGGCTGAGAGAAAGCTCAAAGGCAGACCTGTCCTTGGGGCAGAGGTGGAGACACAGCGAAGCCTTGGGGCACTGTGTGCTGCATGGCAATACCAATTATTATTGCTCTGGACCTGGGGGAAGTCTGGCTGGGTCACTGAGAGGGTATTCTATGATGTCATTTGAGCTTTGAGGCTAGAAAATATAGTAAGAGTGGAGCGCTCATAGCTAAAAGAGTGTGTTCCTCATGCCTAGGAGCAACTTTCAACAGTCTTGGCATCATTTTTGACTTTTGCTGATGTCTCACTAATGCTTTTGCACATAAATAGAAAGGAGAAGTCATTGAAGCTTCAGTGAGCTGCACTGCCAGGAGAAGGAAACCTGCCCAGTGCACATGTCCAGCCGCTGAGCTCAGTGTACACACAGTCTGCAAACATCCTTCACTTTCCACAGGCAGTAAGTGACTTGTCTTGGTTCTTCCCAAATCAGAGTACATGGTGTGGTCCAGGTGTCCAACAAGTACTGCATCACACGTAGTGTTTGTTAGGTGGCTAAGTCACTTCAGACTGACTGGTGGGGGACTTATAACCTCATTTGTTGCTGTTGATATTTATCCCAAGTGCTGCAAAATTGCCTGGAGAGGTATTAAGCATAGTAAAATGAAAAATAACCTAAATGTTCTGGGTGTGTGGTGGCCCACACCCATACCAAGAGAAAGTGTGTCCTTGAGTTCTTGGTAGGGCATGCCTCTCTCCCCCACACAGAGAACATCCTGGGCTGGCCAGGCTTACTGGAGCTTCCCTGGGTATTGGCAATGGCTTACAGTGCTCATGCAGAAAGCTCAGCAGCCTTGGTGCCATCAGGGCACTGTTAGACTAGACTGCCAAGACTTAGGACACCTCCTTGATGAGCTGCTGGGAAGTCCCCACAGATGATGACCATAGCTGCAGTCCCCAGTCAGAGGAGCCTCATCCGTCAGCCTGCTAGGGGGAGGGGAGGTGACGGCGGCAGATGCTCTGAGCTCACTCTGAGGTCATAACCTGAGCAGAGCCAGCAACGTCTTTCCTTTGGCAATGGCCTGCTCTGGGGAGAGCCTGGGAGACTGCCCCTTCTTATCCTGTTAATGTTTCTTCTTTATCTCTGCCTTCTCTTTGCTGCACTTTTGCTAATATCACAGTCACTACTGACTGACTGATAATCTGAATGGAAGAAGGTAAATACTCAGAAGTAATCTTTGCTCTATTCCATACAGAACTCAAAACTATCCTTCAGAAAGGCCACTGTAATATAATCGTTTTGCGATGGACAAGGTAGGATAGGATGAGAGAGAGGTGGGTAAGTAGAGGTTGAATGAAAAATTCATTCTTGATGATGATAGCGTGGGTGGTGTTTTACACAGTAAGGAAGGACTGGATAAAACTATCACAACCTTACGAGGCAAAGTCATTTGGGAGCCTTAGCCAAGCTGAAGGACACAGCCCAGGAACTCATCAAGATGCCTGAAGAAGACAGCCATGAGAAAGCCCATTTTACATGTACGGAGACTTTCACACCTTTATTTCATAGTTTTTCAGTGGGGGGGGGTAGTACTGGCATCTGAAATTTGAGGACTTGTGAGGTAGGTGCTCTACCACCTGAGCCATGCCCCTAATCCTTTTTTACTTTAGCTATTTTTCAGGTAGGGTCTTATGTTTTTGCCTAGGGCCAAATTCAGACCAAGATCTTCCTACCCATGGCCTCCCACATAACTGGGATGACGGGCATGTGCCACCATGCCCGGCTTATTGATTGAGATGGCTCTTGCTAACTTTGCCCAAGTTGGCCTCAAACAGTTATCCTCCAGATCACCACCTTCCAAATAGTTGGGGTTACAGGCATGAGTGAGCCACCACACCGGACCTTATTTAACATTCTTATTTGCCACTTAGCAGTAATTTATCTTCCAGAATGCAACATAGCTGGTGAGGTGTGAAAGTACTGCCTTTTGAGTTCAGCATGCACATATACACATGTGTGTGTGATACACACATTCTTTTCATTTAGAGAGCTCAGCCCTTCTTGCTGGGTGTTGGAGGCTGGCATCTGATGACCAGCTCACTGGTGTGTTTGTTCACTGGAAGGAAGATTGGTTTTCACAATCTAGCAATAAAACTAGAATTCTGAAGAAGACAAGGAAGGACGACAAACCTGAGGTATTCCTAGACTCTTCAGAGAAACACCTTTTTTGTTACTAGATGGACTTATTCCTCTGAGTGTGAGTGTGTAGGGGGGCACAACTTGGTGTGCCATATGTCACTATGGTGGCATTCTTTAGGATTACTTCTCCAGGATTAATCAAATTCTGTAGCTTATTAAACACATCAAATGGATTTGAGTATGGGGTAGAGGAGTCACAATGGAATTTTATTCATCTACAAAGAAGAAGGAGATTTTGTCATTCGCAGGTAAATGGATGGAACTGGAGAGCATCATCTTAAGCGAAGTTAGCCAGGCTCAGAACGGATTATAGACCCAAAACAAATGCAGTAATATTATTGGACATGGGTCATACTTGGGAGGGATAGGGAAAGGGAAGGAAACCTAAAACTTGAATGTGTTTGATGTCTCACTATATTAAAGTGAGTATAGTAATCTTAAACTGGCAGAGGCCACTATGGGAAGGAAGGTGACCGGGAAGTAGTGAGAGGTCTGGTAAAGATGAACCAATGTGGGTTCTAATACACATGTGCATTGAAGCAATGCTAGGAATCTCTCTGTATGGGTATTTTCATCTCAGACTAGCAAAAGTGCTATGTTTTTCTTATTATCTCTTATCATTTCTATGCAACAGAACTGGAGAACAAGAGGGCAGATTAGGTTCTGCCTGGAAACAGCGTGGGAGGGATGGGAAGATAACCCAAATAATGTATACAAATATAAGTAAATGTAAAAATGATAAAATAAAGTAAAAAAAGACTTTCTCAATAAAGTATAAGAAATATCTAAAAAAAAAAAAAAGAAAGAATATCTAGCTACAATTTACACAAAATTTCTAAAGCTTGGGAACAGATTTGTCTTGTTCACAGATGTAATATTACCAAAGCATACAATGTACTTCTGGTGTGATGGCACACTTTCTCCACCTGTTGTTCTACTTCTTGAGTTCTTTCTCCCTCTTTCATTCAAATACTGGATTGAATGGCAGACTCCCATTTCTCCCCATGTAACACCATACCCTTCCTTCTTCATTTGCTCCCATAAATGTCCAAAGAGCATTTATCCTCATCTGGCAGCCATTCTCTAGCCATGCCAGGTTTCAATCTTCTCTCTTCACCACCATGCCTACACTACCCTTCGTCCACCTGCTCCTTCTCCCTGCTTTCTTCCTGTGGACCTTGCCTATACTAACCATGGTTTTTGAAGGCACCCTTGAACTCATTTCCTGAGCAGCTCTGTCGACTCACTTTATGTCACCTGAAAAGTTTATTGCACATGTGGGCTCCATTTCTGCATCTCGAACTCCTGTCTCACAGATGATGGAGCCTTCCTTCATCACAGACTAGAGGAAGTCTGCATGTTTGTGATCACACGCTGTGATTACTGACAGGTAACTGTTGTGAGAGCATAGTGACTGACATGCTCACTGCTCCCACCACAGTGCTAGTTCAGCACGTGGGAAGAGCAGAAATGGTTGGTGAATGAGTTAAAAACAGACTTGATAGGGCAGGTTACCTCTGAGTGGCCTCCCTTCCTTCACTTTCCTACTCTCCCTTGATCCTTTCGTACTTCTGTCTCACATTGACCACTAGGGATAGTTTCAGTATGATTCCTATCACAGAATTTTTTTCCTTTTATCTTTTCAGCAGCTTTAAATACTGTTTTTTAAGAATATGATTAGTGCCCTTGTAATTATAGTTACTTTAAACATGGCTGGAATTGATTTAATGAGCAATGGGAATATTAACATGAAATAATTTATCTTTTCTCCAGTTTTGTTAATTTGTCAGATCTTTCCTTTTCTTCCCTTGAGTGGATTCCAGAGCTTTCGGGTCATTTCTAGCTCCAAATCCCAGTGTTAGGGTGATTTAGTTCTGCCATTTCATGTCAAGCTCATTTTCATTCCTCACTTCTTCCCAGCCATCTCCTTCTTTCCCCCTCCAGCTCAACACCTCTCCTTTGTTGAAAGGCGGGGTTAGAGATGAGTAGATTATGTGTGCTTTGACCTCTGGTCCCTGCAGCATCTTCCAGGTGCTGGGGAAGAAGGAGGAGCAGGAGTACCCTGTACTTAATGCTCTGGGCTGGCACATGGCCAGGTAGATTGTGGCTGGATCAGAGGATTTATTTCACAAGTGCAATTGCTTTTACATTATTAGCTTTTTGGTGGTTGTTGCTTTTAACAGTTATTACAGAAACTAACATTTCTACAATAAAAAGATTTAAGTTAATTCCAAGGTTTAGTTTTTCTAAAAAATTCATTTTTATCATTATTGTGGTACTTATGATGGTTTCCGAGAGGACAGGCCTGGCTGAGGTGACAAAGCAGTGTGCCTTACCTGGATTTTGTCCAACACTCCAGTGCTGTCCATCCTGCTGGCTACATTGACAGTGTTGCCCCAGATATCATATTGTGGCTTCTGGGCCCCAATGACACCGGCTATTACAGGTCCATGGTTAATACCTGTGAGACGGCAGAGCTGGGTTAGCAAGACTGAACTGCAGTGACTGTGCTCAACAGGACAGCTTTAGGAGATGGTTCCTGAGTCATCATTATTAACAAAACACTTGCCCAACACGTGAGCCTTGCAGCAATGACAATAATCCCTGTGCCTGTATTGTCTCAAAAATGCTACACTGTTTGCACTTGTTTGTCCATGTTTTCCTTCTAGTTCAGGATTCATGTTTGTACGTCCATTTATCGTCATTCTATAATAACATAAAACTGAGAAACTAAACATAATAATATAATTGATTTTCTATGTTGTTATAGAATCTTAGGCAAGCAATAATTGTTATACTGTTTTGTAAATTTTGAAATATACACATTTCAATTCCAATAGGTATACTGAACGGATGTATTGCACTTAATTTGCCATTGTGTCACTGTTGGACATTTTGCCAAAATGACAAACACAATGAAAACCCCCACAGCCACACTAATACAGCCCTTGTGACTTCTGTGTACTATGCACACATAGCTTCAAACTGTCCAGCATCTTGACCAGGTGGATCATGCTAACATCACTTCTGCTTTCCAACTTAGGAAGCAGAGGGAGGCACCATCACACAGACAGCAGACAGAGGAGGCAGAACACAAAGCCAGGCTCCATGGTCCCAGCTTCTGACAACTCCACTTACCCATCTCCATCACCAGCTTACTGTGCACATGGCTTTTTCCCACTTACAGGCTTGCTGCTTTAAACACCATCCCATGGAGAGTTTATGGAGTTCAAGGTGCTTCCCATTGCTAAACTGCTCTGTGGTGGGCTCCCCTAATTTGTGCTACTGCTAGTAAGGAATTTTAGCCAGGTCTTAAAAAAAAAACATCTAATGTGTATAATAAAAGTGTTTGATGGAAGTTAAACTTGAGGAAGTTTTTCACTGAGGAAATGACTGGCCACTTTTAACATATAACTGGGAAAGGGTGAACAGTTAGAAGTGAGAGGACAGAGGTTTCCAGGATGGGTAGGGAGGGCAAGGAGGAGGAGGCTGGCTTAGGTCACCCTTTGGGAGGAGGTGACACAGCATGGTCTACAGTTCACCTCTGCCAGTTTTTGCTGCTTGGGCTCTTGTTCCGTTGAAGTTGGGCTCTCCTGCTCTGCATTCATCAGAGTGAAGAAAATTGGCCTGCTGGGGCCTAAGTCTCCTCACTAGTTGTGATTCTCTAACAAGACTAAATCAAAAGGTCACCATAGAAATTCATGAAGTCACCTCTCTCTGGTCCAGTTTGCCAGTTCTTGCATGGGAGGACAGATTTCTTAGAATCTTGGGGTATGTGGACTTTAAATGATACCTTCCCAGATAACCAGGCACTCTGAGAAACCACCAAACAACTGCAGTTATTTAAAGTAACTGCAATCATGAAATCCTGGTTATTGCATGTTTACATTTGGGGTCAGATGTGCTTTGACACAGGATGGGATGTGGAGATGGCATATGCCATCAGTAGCCAGCTGAAGCCTCAAAAGTCACATGAATGCCTCTAATAGAACAGAGGGCAAGCCTGGTATCATCTCCAGCCCAGTTCAAAGGATGGGATGATTCCTTGTCTCAGGAACTCAATTCAAATTCACAGACCCACAGCTGTTACGGAAGTGGTGTGAAGGAAGACCATAGAACTGGAGTCATGGAGATCCACTGATCATTCCCCTACATTTTCCCCTGGATCCAAGCCCCCATCCTTGCTGCATTAGTCCAACTGTATTGATTAATGATCATATTTCTGAGAGATTTAATTTATGACTATTGACTTCATTAGTGAAATATTTTAGGCAAATTTCCCTCATTGCAATGGAAAGTTAGGCTTGGAAACAAAGTCCAAATACTATTCCATAAAATTTTACAGGTACAAGAGAGGGGAGAAATACATTCCCCTTTGCTTTTGTGGAGTACTTAATGAAAGTCAATTCTGCTTTAGACAACTCAAATTACTTATTCCAGCACTATCACATGCATCAGCACACTCAGGAGTCAGGTCTGGATGCTGGCCTGTGATTCCGCACACTCATCCACCAGCTATCCTGCTGGATGCTGCAGACCCCAGCTTGAAAAGCAGCCCCAGGGAACCGTGAGAGCCTGGACTGGCTACCGCTGGCAATGGGACCATCTTTACTTGATTGCACTTTTGATTAACCAGCCGATTCTCCAGCTCGGCATGCAGAAAAGGATGCTCAGCAAACTGCTGCTATTTGTGCCATCACTTTTTGGTGGCAAATATTTATTCTCCCTCATTCTTACTTGTGAACTGCCATCGATGGCACCATGTGCTGAGGTCTAGCAGGAAAACCACTTCAAAGGAGAGGCTGAGGGTTTGGGGAAGGGAAGACTTAAGGTCAAGTGAACATTGGGTTAGGCTTCCTGAGAAGTCTACAGCACTAATATGTGGGCTGCATAGAGATATTATTTCAACAAACACAAGTTAACAGAGGTCATTCGTTGCTCATTTTAATTTGGAAAATTAGAGTATAGATCAAGAAAACTGCCTTGGATGTAGCACAAGTGGCCGTCAAAGAATTGTCCTGTTCCCATGCTACAGCTCAGGGGAGGGTCATTTTGGTTCATATATATTTGACAATGAAGAATATCATTTGTCCTTCAATATGCTTTTTCATTTCTTTAAAAGGAGGGTGCTATGGTTTAGATATAGTTTCAATGTGTTCCCAAGGGTTCATGTGTTAAAAGTTTGGTCCTCAGCGTGGTGATGTAAGGTGGAGGAACCTTTAGGAGTTGGTCAGTGAAAGGTAATTAGGGAAGTGCAGTCCTTGGAAAGGATTATTGCTTGTCTTTGGACTGAGTTCCCTTCAGAGGGAGTTGTAGTAAAAGAGCAAGCCTGACCCTTGAATCTCTCTCCAGCATCCTGTCTGGCCATGTGACAAGTCTCACCCACACTCCCACAGTGGTGCCATCCACCATGTTGTAATGAAATTATAAGGCCCTCACCATAGGCCAAATGGATGCAGCCTTCTGCTCGTCTACTTTCAGCCTCCCAAACTGTGCGCTAAGCAAATGTTCATAATTGCCCACCTTTGGGTATAATGTCATAGTAACAGGGAAGGACTAACACACAGAGACAATATAAAACTTCAGTTATACCATTTCTGAAGCTTTCCAAACAATGTAGAAGCTCTAGATCAAAGAGACATGCTTGATGTGGTCAGCAGGGTGTCCAGGGTGGTGTCCTGCCCACCGTCCTACCTCACCTCTGTATTTGGTAGAGCCCTGACAAAAGTTTGCTGTGCACAGAGGTGAGAAAGTCTAAAGGAAAAAGAAATGCTTGGGAACTGATAGCTAATAGCACATGCAGAGGTATGAATCTCATTTGCTAAAGAATATAAAATATTTCTGGGTTTTTAAATTCAGATCACATGCATAGCAAAGGAAGAAAATAGCTTTAAATGTCTAGATTTTTTAAAAGTTGAAATCTGTATGCAAAAGAAAGTTAAAAACCATACAGATGGAAGGTGTCACAAGAACTACTCTTATGTGGACTTTCAGAAGAAGCAACATGTATTGCCAAGAAACCTATAAAATTGTCATGAATGCCTGCAGACAACTGTGCATACATTACAGGGCAGCTGTATGCTAACTTCATGCTTCAAAAAGCACTTTTTTTGAAATAAGAATTTGTCAAAGGCAAGTAATCATGAAACATGATAAAATATGAACTTAAAGTTTGCTAAGAACTTATTAGAAACCAGGAAATCTTTTTTCAGTGAAGTAAAGGTTACTATTTTTTATAATAAAGAAAGTTGGTTTTCGCCCTAAGACTAGAAGAAATCTGACATGCTGTAGCTATTTTAGAACCTGGTACATAATTTGGTGTTCTTGTAGGTTGTGACTCTGGGAACGTGGGGCTGGATTTCAATAGTTCTAATGCACATTAGAATTTAATTACACTTTTATATTTGAAATCTGGATATATCTTATGGTTAGAGACAGGTCATTGGTAACAGTCTATAAAATAACGGAGCAGCTTTCAATTGATAACTCCCAGTAAATCAGTGACTCCCGGTCTTGTAAATGGGACCTTGACTGGACAGACAGGGGCTGTTGGAAGCTCATGCTGCACTTGATAAGTCATATGTCTACAGTTTGGCACCAACCAATGGGGCTATTTTTTTCCAGTTTGAACCAGAGTACTTCAGGGGCTCAGTGCTTCTCTGAGCCCCTTCATCTGTAACCTAATCCTGCTACCCTAAAGATGCAGTTTCAATTATACTACTCCAACATCATCAGGGTCATCAGTGGTTACAGGGACCTTATTCTTTATCCCACACCTTCACTATAGCTGAAACTCCAATCTGTTTGCACAACATACCCACTCTCAGTTTGAAGTCATTGAAGGAGTGCTTGTTGATGGCATCCAGTTTTGCCACAAGGGCAAAAGCAAACTCCACCATGGTGCCTATGTGCATGTATTGACGTTCAGGCTCCTACAAGAGAGAAAATGTGTGCAGACTGGGTTAGAGCTCATAAATTAGAAGACATGTCTCAGTCACAAACCAGTGCTTCATTCTAAAGGGAAGACTCACAAATGAAAAAATGTTTTAGAACAGTCAAGTGTCATTTTGAGGAAGTATTATATCTTAGTTCATTGTTGGTTCCAAAGGCATAAACGTCTAGTAGAGATTGGCTTAATCTATTATACACCTTCAGGCAGAAGTGCCTTGTGGCTCAGGTATGTAGACTTACATGTCAGGCCTGCACTGTTTTACCCAGAAGACACCAATGGGTGCCGGCTCTGAGGAGATTCAGCTCTTTGTTCTCTATCTGCCCTTCTCACCCAGTTTGTCCCTTCTCTGCTGACTCAGGCTTTTGAGGACTTGTCCCTAGGCACTACCTCCTCTTAGCCCTTTGGTTTCCATCTGGGATTGACCAGTGGGAGCTCCATAGAAGATGAAAGGACAGGAGGAGAGAGCTCTTTTCCCCCACACCACAACCTGCTTTGACTGTGGCTGGTTCCCACCGTTAGGACTAAGGCCACCATTCTTTCCCGGTGGCAGCTCTTTTCTCCCCTACAAATTCCCTTCATTGTGGTAATGCTCTCCCTTCTTTTGCCTTTTCATGACTTGACAGAGGGAATGCTATGGGCTAAATTATTGCCCCCTGCTGAAAGCCCCATGTGAAGTTCTAAACCCAGTCTCTCAGAATGTGACTGTATATTTGGAAACAAGCCATTAAAGAGATCATTGACATGGGTCCTAATCCAACAGCACTGTGTCCTTGTAAGAAGAAATCAGAATGCAACATACATAAGTAGTGACATGTGAAGACACAAGGAAAGGTGCCACTGAAAAACCAAGGACAGAGGCCTCAGGAGAAACTAATGCTGCCAACATCTTGAGTAGGGACTTCCAGCCTTCAGAACTGTGAGAATTTCTGTTGTTTAAGGCACTCAGTCTGTAATATTTTGTTAGGCAGCCATTGCAATCCAATATGGGGAGGGGTACATTTTCCTGCCTTTACTCATCCCGGAGTGTTTTATCATTCCATGGGAGGAAAGAGTTATGGAGTTAAGAAGTCCAAAGTTTCCAATGGGGAAAAGAGAATTTCTATACCTATTTATTATTAACTTACATTTTTCATTCTTGTAACTAATTTATAGTTGCCATTAATTTGTAACACCAATAATATTTATTTTTGAAGTTCATCCTTTGGTAATTTTGTTTCTGTTTTAAAATAGATTCTCTGTTACATGCACATGTATCTGACTCATACAAAGTATTAATTTATATGCTCTGAAGGTTCCTGCTTCCCTAATATTTAATGATTAGGTGAACCAAAATAGTTTGGAGAGCAGTCCGTGTTTCAAAAGGTCTGGTGAGGTACTCAGTCTTCCAGACTGAGCTAAAATGCAGCCCCAGTCTGCTGGGCACCATGGGCAGGATTACGGTTATCTATTTTAGCTCTGAAATCAAAGCTTCTGAAAGTTTGTTTTGCTCACTTGTTTGTAAACTCCCCCAGGGCAAAAGGCTGTTTTCTATTAATCTTGTCTTTGCAGCTACTGTCATAGGAGAAGCTCTTCATAAATGTCTATTGGCTGACTGCAAAGTAACCCAGAGGAAGTGACCAGTGGAGAAGAGTCAGCTTGGGTGAAAGCAGGAAGACAGCTGATGCTCATCCGGGGAGCACATGCCCAGGAAGGACCACTAATGTGCCCACTAAGGTGGGAAAGGCTCTAAGGAAAGACCAGGAATCAATCTGAGAGAGAGGGAATGAAGCCCAAAGAAGCCCTCAGCTGGGATATGGAAGGACATGGGGAAATAGGGGAAATCATTGAGAGGGAGTAGGATCAGCAGACTAAGAGATCTTGTGCATCTTCAGCAATGACTTCTGAGATGAGTGTTTAGTTGTGTTGGGTCTCAGAGGAAGCTTAATCAAAGACTGAAAAAGATCTTGAGACAGAAAGGGTGCTCATGTTGACCTCAAATCACCCTCCATGGAAGAAGAAGATAAAAACTAACTCCAGGGAGTTCCATAGGGCTGAGGGAGACTAAGATGGGGACAATGGACACAAACCACATATTCAAGGTGACAGAGAGTGGACAAAACAAAGGCAGAAGCTTACTGAAAGAGGACAATGACAAGAGGGTTATTCAACTAATCCACACAGCAGTTCAGCAGGAGAATGGGAGGATCTGCACTAAAGCAGGGTTTCTTACCCTTGCTTAGTGTTTGGATCCTTGCTGGCCTCTGTCCTCTAGATGTGAGTGGCGTCCCCCAGTTCTCTTAATGATGACTGAAAATATCTCTTGACATTGAAAAAATGTCCTTGGGGGGGGGGGAAGTTGCTCCCAGTTGAGAACCACTGCACTAAGCAATATAAATATGAGTGGACAAGTGGAATTATATTTCCCCTAAAGAAAGATTTCTTTATTTCCTCAGGTGAATAAATATTATTCTAGAAAAAGAGAAATGAAACAGCAGTAATGCCATAAATCCTTATCAAAAAAATATGAGTGAAAACCAAACAATGGCAGCTGTCACCGCAAGGCAGGTTGTAGTACGCCTTCTGCCTTTGGTGGAAATGCATGATGTCACTTCTGAAAAAATGACAGGACTTTCTACCATAGCTCATTAACAGCCAAGTGGAAAACATCTTGCTCCTTAACAGGAAGTGCAAACTACTAAACCAACAATCAGAATCCCATGTGGTGAAAGTCACAGTTGTCCAGTGAGTCCTGAGAGAGAAATCCTTTGCTTTCTGTCTAATCATACAAGCTCCGCTCCCTGAAACATTATCATCCAATCTGTTTTCATGCAGCAGGTCAAAAGTGGAGGTTTAAAGTGCCCTCTGCGATGTGGACAGACTGAGTTCTGGAAGTATCGCTTAAATCCAATGTCACTAACTCATGTAGGCTCAGTAAACCATCAAAAAAAACTTATGCTCGGTCCCTGGAGAAACTCAATTCACTTTGAAAGGTTCTTCTGAGCTCTTCATAAACATTTGATGGCAGTATAAGGTGCTTATTTCTCCCATGACCCAAATAATTTCTTCCAGGTATCTCCAAATATTTAATTGATGTCCAGCTACACAGCCAGAGAGCTCAGTTGTTTCCCTGGAACCCATCTTGTGAGATGCCTGTTTTGGAAGTTTCACCAACAAAGAGCATTACTTAAAGTAGATGCATGTTTATTGCAATTATTTGAAAATCCAAGTGACTATTTAGTAACAAAAGTAGCTTTTTAGGCTAAAATTAACATGACTTTCTTCACTGGGCACCTGATATGTGCTGGCATTGTGTTCTGTTTCTGAAAATTACTGATGTTTGAATTCCCACTTGCTTGATTTTTCCTGGGACTTGATTGGAGACCCAACTTTTAAAGATGTGATTAAGGCTAAGTGAGGTCATAAGGATAGGGCCCTTATGGGATGGAACCAGTGCCCTTATAGAAGAAGAGACCCCAGATCTCTATTTCTGTCTCTCATCTCTATCTCTATCTCTCTCCCACACCTTTCATGCCATGTGAGTGAGAAGGCTGTCTGAAAATCAAGAAAAGAGTCCTGGCCAAACACCTAACTGGCAGTGCCTCTGCCATGGACATCCCAGCCTGCACAATACTGAGAAGATGAAGAGACAATGAAGGCAATGTAACTAATGTACGATATAAGTCTAAACCCCTTGTATCATGAATATATCATAATAAACAGTTATTTAAAAATATAAAGCCCTGTCCATGGTATTTTTTGTGGCAGGCCTTGTGTACTAAGACAGATAGGTTCTGACAGGGCTGTGCTGAGCATCTTGGAGCCTGAGGCAAAAAGAAAAGTGCTTGTACCTACATTCATGCTTTCATGTTATGTTTTTAGTGGTTAAGTTTCTCTAGCACATTAAATGAAAAATAAAGAAAAAGTATAAATTTGCTTCTATTAATGCCAGAAAAGTAAAATTGTAATTAGCTCTGCTTTTGGTATAAATAAATATTCAACATTTAAGCAATGTTACGTATTAAAACCTCTATTTCACATTTTTTTCCTATAATTTTTCGACACTTTAATGTTCTGAGGGAAAAACATCTACTAAAAATGTGCAACACTGTGCATAGGCAGGATTGTTTTTCTTTTGCCTCTGGCTCCATGCTGCTGGGGAGGATGCTGCTCAGAATCCAAGAGTAAGACTTTTTTAAAGGTTTCTTGTATTGCTTGTTTTTTTACTTCTTTTCTTTATGGATAAAGTAATTCATACCCATTAAAATAATTCTCTGAAAGCAACCACATGAAGAAGAAAACACATGGAATATACATTACCCAACCCGATTGGAAAAATGTGAGGTTAATATCTGGAGTGAGTCTGCCCACATCCTATTCCTAATGTCCATGAACTTCAGAAGGGAAAATGTGACCGTCTAGAGATGCTCCTGGAGGAAAGGCTCTGTTAAGGCACCTGCTGTCCCTCAGCCTCAGCCCCTCACTCCTTCTATGGGAGGCAGGTTTGGGAGGGAAGCTGAGAACAGGGGCCCAGTCCTTCTTCTCTTTGGAATCCACCTGCCTCCAGGACACTGTGTTGTAGTAAGTTCTGTTCCTCTGTACCCCAATGTGCTGTGTGTGATCAAGAAGTCTGCTCTCCCGAGAGGAAAGGCGGTCTTATTTATTTATTGACCCCTTCTGATAACCTGACAAGTCTCACACACACACACACACACACACACACACACACACACACACATATCTACACAAACATGCACACCATCACAACAAAGGGCAATCAAAATCTCCAACTCTTCATTTGACTCAATTTTGCCCAAATCACCATTTCAAACTAATTCCTATATGGGTAACTTGACCACATTGTTTTACTTTTATTTATACTATCATTATTAATATTATCACTATCATTATTATTTGGTGGTACTGGGGTTTGAAACCAGGGCCTCACATTTGCTGCGCAGGCTCTCTACACATGAACCATGCCACAAGCCTTTTTTTGCTTTAGTTATTTTTCAGGTAGGGTCTCCTGTTTTCTGCCCAGGCTGTCCTGGACCACAAGCCCCCTAATTCGGCTTCTTATGGAGCTGAGTTGACAGGCACACACTACTATGCCCAACTTTTTTTTTGATAAGATTGGGTCTTGCTAACTTTTTGCCCAGGCTGGACTCAAAGTACCATCTTCCTGACCTCTGCCTCCTTCTGTAGCTGGGAGTATAGGTGTGAGCCATCAAACCTTGACCACATTGTTTTAGAAGATCAAGAACCTTTCTTGATAAGCCCCCTTTTAATAAATAGCTTTCATCTTCTACTTCATTGCACACTTATGTGGGATCAAGCAGCTACTGGTTGGTTTTCCTCCTGGTCAGTTACAGGCTTTTCAGACTCTCAGACCCTAACACGTCTCCAGTATTCCCTTCTCTTCTCATAGGGCCATGGCACTGAGCTTTAGTAGTTTCTGGGTTCTTGCATGGCTATTTTGGATCCAGGATGACCTGTAGTTGGAGCTGAGGCTCACCTGCATTTCTGGGGAGCTGACACACCCGTACTTACCTGAGCGTGCTCCTGGCTGGGCACAGCACTCAGTCCTGTTGCAGCCATGTATGTGCTGCCGATTGTCTTGATCTTTTCAACTCCACTGAACTTTGGCTTGGACAGCAGCTGCAAAGTGATGGCAGTCACTCAGTTATTTAGTTGTGCGTGGAATCTGAACATTTCACAGGGACATTTTCAGATTAAGTGCATGATAAAGTGAGCATGACTTCTTCCAACCAATGTCACCATCTGTCCACCTTGGGCTTTGCTGGGAGAGAGCCCTTTCTGCATTCCATAAAGAGCATGGCTTTACAAGGAAAAAGTGCGCAATGATCTACTTCCAGTGAATGTGAACTACTCTCAAACCTTGCTGGTGAAGGAACCAAGACAGATTATGATGCAAGTAATAATGGTCTCAAGTAAATTTCCCAACTCTGTGTGTGAAAGGCATCAATACAAAACTATTATTCAATGAGTGAGGTTGTCTCCTGAGGGTCAGGGTGGTTTGTGACCAACTATCTATCAGTGCTGAAGATCAGCTTTGCCCTCTGAGTGCTTGAGGTAGAGAGAATAAGAAGATCTTCCCATTCACCCCAAACCTAACACTTCTGATGTGGTACCAATTACTAGATTCCCCTTTGACTCCTCCCTGACCCACTACTTTGGACCTTGTGGTGGAATGGCTGAAAGGTAACAACCGGAGGAAGAGGAAGGATGAGAGGAGAATTTGGAAGCTTCTGTATCTGCTCATATTAATAACACTGACAGAAGAGCAGGAGAATTTTCTTGCCCCTTCCTTAGCAATCCTGTTTCCAGAATAGATTCTTCCAGGATTACATGCCAAAGATCTTAAGTTAGGTGAGGTAATCCCCATATGCCATACTCAGAAGTCCCTGAGTCATATATCCACATACTCACTGTCACTAACCCTTTAGTACTGGGGAACTTTTCTTTTGATAAGGGGAAGGTGGAGCAAACATGTTACTGTTTTCCACTATTCACACACCCTAATCTTTGGTTGCCATGACTTGCCTATGAGTATCTAGAGTTAACCTCATAGTGAGGATGGTAGTAGTAGAAAACATTTGCACTGGAGCCCCCAAGACATTTGGTTTGCCTGGAACCATCATGTTACATAATCTAATCACTGTATTTCAAAGTTCCATGCATCATGATGAACGTATGCTCCTAGATGACAACTTTCCTCTATTTTGCATAATATTGATAAGAATAGTGTAATTGCAAAATCCTTAACACAAGAGATGTGTTTGTTCTTATCAGAAAATAAAACACATTTTCTATGTGTAGACAGAATATTGAAAGTTGAAAAATGACACCTATTTCCAATCCTAAAATATATATTTTTACCCTTCAAAAGATGATGTATTATCCCACATACATATTGTTTTGTCAATAATAAAGTATGTCATTTATACATAACTCAAGTTGATGTCCGACAAAGACCTCCAAGTAGTACAGACATGCCAATAATCTGCTATAATAAATAGACTCACTATATTTTACTATCTGAAGGAATGGAAAAGTATTTTCCCTGAAGGTCAAGCCTCTCTAGAAAATTTACTAGCAAATGGGATACAGAATTTTGTAGCTGTCCCTTGCAGTCATATCAACTTTGAAAAGAAAATGTCTTTATTTCTTCCATATTAGCATGGACCTAAATAAAGCACATGAATGTAAGTCAAATCTCCAAAATTAGGCCAAAGGACAATTTTAAAGATATGTTACGATACCAAACAACTTTAAATGCACAGGAATCACCCAATATGGGTCTGGAGCTTCCCCTTCAGTACTGGGTAACTCTCAGGGTACCTACATCATCAAAGTCTGCGATGATCTCATTCAGGAGTCGAAGGCATTCCAAGCCCTCCTTGTTCACATCTGATTCTGTGTAGAATTCTTTGAAATCCGGAATGGAGGCAAACATGACGCAGACACAGTCATAGGACTGGTGGTATAACTCCTGTCCAAAGAAAAAGAAGAAATCCTTCACACAAAGACACCTCAAAGGCAGGTGCTTGTTTATTCTCAGATTATAAAGAAATCACCCCAGTGTCTCACTGCCCATGTCCCAACCCAGCCCCTGACCTCTCCCACACTGAGGCTGTGAAGCTTCTCCAGTTACTTTCTGTCATTTCTACTTTAGACAACTGCAAGCAATCAGAGTCTGGCTTAGGAGAAAGTGTTCCTCAAACAAGGGAAGAGAAACAAACCCATATCCAAAACAACTAATGTGCTTAAATAACCTGCTATGGCTACATTCTTTGGATGGGAAGTTTTGTGAAATTTCCTCTTTGTCTCCTGTTAGGAGCAGATAAAACTCATCAAGTGATTTCTTAAATTACACCAGAAAGAGCCAATGAAACTCCTCAGCCCACTGATTCCTATATTATGAGACCCCAGAAATATTTAGTAGGGTTATTCTTTGGATTTCAGGTAGAAAGAGACACATGGATCTTTATCCATAAACATGAGTACAACTGCAAAATCTTGAAGTGACATCTTCAATTCAGTGCTGGTTTCAGAAAAGAAAGGGTGTTCTTAGGTTTGGAGGCTGATCCCAGGTTTGGAGAATCTGACCTCCCATTGGCACTGGCTCATAAGGGTCCTGACATAGGTGCCATCGTGGTTGCAGTGCAGCATGGGAAGCACTCAATCCTTCAGGAAATGTGAGGCGAGTTCTGTTAAACAAGATGACTCACCACTGGGTGGAGGGAACCTTGCCCATGGAAGTGTCTGGTGAAGATCCTATGGTTTATGGACACCACCTGTAACCTTTGCTCTCTAGGGCTCCCAGATGAACCTCTTGACAGGAGTGAACACTTAAAAAGCACTACAACTCCAGGGTTTGATGGCCTCTTGGAGGGGCTGTTTTCCCCCCACTGAGATCTCATAAACATATCAGGGCATGGCGGCCCAACCGAGGGTCAGAACAGCTTCAAGGGAAAGTAGTGCCATGTCATGTTTCTGCTCTCAGGGCCAACAAATCTGCAATGCCTTCCACTACTGTCTCCAAATCTGTACTTACTACATGAACAATAGAACCAAGGTTTTCCTTTCCACCCTGTACTCAGCATGGTCCACCTGGCTTGTTGTGCAGAGCTACACATTCTCTGCAAAGTAATTTTGTACAAATTTGTATCTTTGGTAGACAACCTGTGGCACATGGAATTGCCAAGGCTGGGTTCCAGAAATGCTGTCAGCTACCATGGAGTCAGAGTAACAGGGAAGAGATGAACATCAGGAGCCTGTTTTAGTTTAAAAAAATGTCAGGTTTTAACTTCACAGTCTTTCCTGCTCTGAAAGAAAAGGGCAACATTGATCAGGTCTAGTACACATTTTCCGTACCCTGCATTTCCCTGCTGTCTTCTGTCATTGGCCAGGGTGATTTTCTGAGGAATGAAGATGATAACAAGTACAAGCAGGATATTTCAGTACTTATTCGGTGCCCACTGCATAACAGATAGGCACCTCTCTGAATACACTGTGTGCACTAACTTGCCTTTGACTATAATCTTATGCTATTTTTCACCTAGAAAAAAGGACACTGAGGCACAGAGTAGTTACATTACTTTAGCAAGACTGTAGTTACCAAGGCTGACTGTAAAGCTCACCCTTGTAAAGACTACACTTTACCCTGAGTCTCCCAGACAACCAAGGGCTATGCTACCTAGATTTGAGGGTAACATAGGGCCCAATCACTTTCAAGTCCTGTCACTTTATTTTTCTCTTTGGGGATGATTTTAAGGATGTATAGGAGTGGGAGGAAACTGAATGCAGGACTGAACTGGCAGTTTGCATCTGCCATGTCATCTTACTCCACAACACTCACATGGGAGTGCATGGGAGAATCACCAGTGGGGCTTTCAAGAAGGAAAATGACTGGACTCTCCACTCACCAACCAAACCTCATCCCTAAAGGTGGAGTCTGGGTATGTATATTGCTTTGAAAAGCTCCATGAGCTGTTTTGCTGTATGAGGAAATTTGGGCTCAGTGGTTGTCAGCTGGCTTTGGAGAAAGGCCAGGACCAATGTCTTTATTCTTTGCAGATCATAAGAACCAGCAGGGTTTTTTTTTTTTTTTTTGGCAGTATTAGAGTTTGAACTCAAGTTGTCATACTTGCTAGTCAGGTGCTCTACCACTTGAGCCATGCCTCCAGCTCACCAGTGGGGATCTTAAACTCTGCACTGTTTACTATCCCTCTTTGGCACAGTGGTCATTTGGAAGCTTTGATGGAATGACCAAGGTGAGCTCAGATCACCAGGCACCTGGTCCCCAGGCTGTCAGACTATTCTTCTGGCTTCTCTGTTCACTCCTCCAACCAACTTTGTTAGGTAGGATCAAAAACACCCCACACCAATTTTTCACTTGCTTAATCCAGAAACTATCTTAGTAGTACCCTTTGTCCCCCAAATTCCTGACAGTCCAGTTATGTTTCCAGTCACAGCTCCAAACTCTTTAGGCCCAGAAATTCAGTCTCTTTCTTTGGCATTCCCATGGGATCCACCTGTGATCTGCATTCCCCACTTTAGGCTTTTCTCAAGACCTGTCAGAGATCCAAATCATAGGTAGATCCCAGGCTGAGGGATTGTGATTTGTTCGAGGACAGGGGAGGGGAGAATCCCTATTTTCCAACTTAGGATGGAAAGTACATTAACTCCATTCTCTCTCCAAATATTCCTCTAACTTCTAGTCTTCTGGCCAATTAATCTACCCTACACAGGTTAAGGACAAAGAACTCTGATTTCCAAGCAGGGCATTTGTAAGTTCTGTACATTGTTTAGCACTTTTTTTTGTTGGTCTCACAGTTTGAAGTTCACTTTAATGATTTGTTACCCACACATACACATGTGTGTGTACATACACCACCCATTTGCACACTCACACACCCTGCTTCACACCAGGTGTTAGGGAAGCAGACATCACCACACAAACCCTGCCTTCTAGGATCTCAGATACTGGTGGAGAGACAATAAATAAGGAGAATATACCAACAAAAGGCTACAGTAACAATTACGGTTGCTTACGCCTAGGAGTGGAGATGTTTGGGGCTTTTCATCAGGGTAAAGGGAGCTTGATGTGCTCTAGGAAGTGTTTGGGACTGCACTAATGCTTGGGTTTCTAAACTCAATAGGCACAGTGCTCTCTTCCTGATTCAGGCTGAGTAACAAAGGCCTTGGAGCTACCACATTGGACCAGTTAACTGTGAGTTAATGGCTAATTAACTGGGAAGTTTATTGGGGAATTCAAAAGCACAGAAGCATCTCTTGCAAACATATCCTATAGATAAGTGATGTTGTTAGAGGTTCAGCTGGTGGTCCGTGGAAGGCCTTCATGGTATCATTAAACTGGGTGCTATTTGCATGCAGTGTGACTCACTGAATGTCCACAGTAACATGTGTGGCTTGTTTTGTTTAAGCTCTGGCTCTCTCTGAAGGATGGTGCCTGGCTCAAAAATCACACACATTCCCCAGCACCTGGAACTCAGAAAAGGAGCAAATGCAGTCTTCTTAACAATAGAGACGTATATTCAAGGCGCTGATCAGAAATGTTATCAGCCCACACAGCAATGCAGAGAGTAGGTCTTGTAAAGCAGAGGACTCCTGGGCACAGAACACACACTCCTCAGCCTGAATGGCAGGCACGTGGACTGAACCCAGCCAGGACAGTTAACCACTGACGGAGCAGTATTAGGAAGTTTTAAGGGGAGGGAAGTAGAGGTGCCCATAAAGCCAGCCTCACACAGCTGCCAGCGCCATGCTCACATGCTCTGAGCAGAGACATAATGCATGATATTTCATGAAAATAAGTACTTTTTGGAATTGTTATAGTGATTAAATCATTCTTGACTCCTTATTTCTGAAAGGAAATTAATTTCTTTTGTATATTGATGCAGTGGGCTGGAGAATAAAAATGGCATGCCAGAAAGTTCTTTGTTAATGTAGGTCATGACATAAGTCATGCTATTTTCCCAGCAACTGATCCAGAAAAGCACCAGAAAACCGTGGAGCAGAGGATGTCAAAGCATTCACCCTTGACCCAAAAGGCAGCCATCAACCACAGACTGTGACTAGGAGGAAGTCAAGGCTGCTTCTCTGGCATCTCCCAGATCCCTGGTTTCTCAGGTCTGGTCCAGGGCTGATGTTCATGCTCAGAGCAGGAATTATATGGGGAGCCAGCTCTGGTCGTATTTATTTATGTCTGAAGTATTCCTAAGTGTTAACCAGTGTTCAGTCAAAAATGCTGCATGTGCAAGCTATCCTGGGGAAGGAAATAAAACATATCATCAAATCTTGTTCTTTTGTTTTGTTTTGGTTACTTTTTGTCAGAGTCTTGTTTCCCTGGATTATTTCCAAAAGGCTCATAGAAGAGTGTCACAAGGAGTTCATGGGAAGAGCTGGTATGGTTGACACCATGGGGCTGGCACCTCTGCACCCATGTTCTCTGCATCAGAGACAGTGGTGCTTGGTTCCGAAGGCCCAGTCCACCCTACTCAGAAGGAGATGGGGAGGGAGATGCTGCCTGCAGTGCTTTGTCTCCAGTGCCAGACACGGGAGCAAACAACAACACTGGGTTTTCTTCTCCACTCTATTCAGGCCCAAGAAATGTGGGGCAGGAAGTTTTCCCTAAAAGCTTCTGCCAAATTCCCAGTGACTCTTAATGCTTGCATGAATTTGGAATACTTGCTTAAAAGATAGCTAACTTTGAGTGTTACTCATGTCAGCATACTTTGAAAAGCTTTTATAAATTGTCACTACCAAAATTAGTAGTAATATCCTTTGAGGGGACTGGGGCTGAGGTCCATAGCTAAGGAGCCTTGGCTGGGACAAGAGCTTTGTTCTCAGTCACCAGGCAGATCCCCATTGGTGGAGGGAGGCTCACATGGATGGCACCTTTAGCAGGTGCTATGGGCAGTCCTGCACTCAGAAAACCACTGCTCCTTGCTTGAATGTTGCTGCGCT